CATTATTGAATAAAAGTGAATCAAATTAAAGTTGTTTATACTAAAAATAGCTTCTGAGCAGAAAGGGCTTTTCACATCTTAAAGAAAATAACATTTTTTACAGCCCTGGTTCTGTTTTCAGGTGGTCTTGTGATGCCATCATGTTATTCACTTTGGAACCTCAGAGCAGAACTCAACTCTGTTTTGTTGTTATTTTTTCTTTAATTAACTCCGTACCGACCCCATCAGCTCACTGACTGTAATCTGATTCATCTGATTCTGATGTTTTCTGCGCCTAACAGTGACACGTTTGTCTGTCTTTAGTTCTGGGAGGTGATCAGTGACGAGCACGGCATCGACCCCACAGGAACCTACCATGGAGACAGCGACCTACAGCTGGACCGCATCAGCGTTTATTACAACGAAGCAACTGGTGAGTTTTTTATTGATTCTGTGGGTTCATCTGTCCAAACTCTGCTTCATGTTTAAGATGATGGACTGATGTGGCCCCCTTGTGGAGAAACAGCTTCACTGCAGCATTTTCTTTAATGCAAAGGATTAGAGACATGCTGTATAAACACTGAGCTGAATTTTAAAACAGTGACTATAAATGTGAAATACATCTTCATATGTTCACATGAGTTCCAATTTTAAGAGTCATTCCACTTCAAAAAATCCCTTTTGATTTTTTTTTAATGTGTGTAAAATTTGAAATCTGATTTATAGAGAGATATACTTTTGCTTTGCTTTACCACACACTCAGATAGTAGCTATTGTAACTTACCTCTTAAAAAAATTATTTTTATGTGAACAAATGTGCTTTGTTATAATCCAATCCAATCTATTTTCTTACTAGTAACTTTTGGTTAAAATTAATATAATATGGCAGTATAGAGCATGGCAGAAGGCCTAGTAAAACAAATACAATCAAATATTGTTTAAAGTCATACGATTAATTTTAATCACACCAGTTTAAACTGGGAATTCTTCATTTTAATGAGTGGCTCCATCTTGTGGAAAAGTAGGGTATTACATGAGTTCAACAGGAAAATGTGGAAAGTCAATTCTCTTTGTTTCTTTGGATTTTTTTCCCTGCAGATTAAGGTAGCATTAGTTTAAAACTGTCTGAATTAGTCAAATATATAAAGAAAATTTATAGAAGAACCATAGTCTTGAGCGTCACCAGTTCTGTATTAAGCCTTGCTGTTTTTTTAGCTGCTTAAACTGGTCAGTTCAATACAGAACTTCTTATTTAATGCTTTAGTGTTTATATAAATCCTGAAACATGCTTTATTTGTTTGTGTTCAGGAGGGAAGTATGTACCCAGGGCCATCCTCGTTGACCTGGAACCCGGCACCATGGACTCGGTCCGATCAGGACCCTTTGGCCAAATCTTCAGACCTGACAACTTTGTTTTTGGTTAGTAATGAGGAGGGGGGGTCGTTATGGGACCATTTTTATTTTAGCTGATAAATCAGTTTAGGATCATCCTCGCCGACAAACTTTCTCAATATTTTAAGGTTCTGTCGTTTCTAAATAGTTTACGTTTTCCTTTTTTCCATTTTAAAGTCACATATCAAGCTCTTATTAATAAAAAAATACAAACAACAATCCTAATTGTCTGTTAGGTCAGAGCGGAGCCGGAAACAACTGGGCCAAAGGTCACTACACGGAGGGAGCGGAGCTGGTGGACTCGGTCCTGGACGTGGTGAGGAAGGAGGCGGAGAGCTGCGAATGCCTCCAGGGCTTCCAGCTCACCCACTCCCTGGGAGGAGGCACCGGCTCGGGCATGGGGACCCTCCTCATCAGTAAGATCAGAGAGGAGTACCCTGACCGCATCATGAACACCTTCAGCGTGGTTCCCTCCCCTAAGGTAACACACATCCCTCTCCTATAATCT